ATCCTAAAACTGTTACAAAAAGTAAAGCTTAGCCCTGGCAGATGTGGCTCAGAGGATAGAGTGTCGGTCTGCAGACTAAAGGGTATCAGGTTCAATTCCAGTCAAGGGCAGATGCCTGGGTTGTGGGCTGGATCCCCAGTAGAGGCCATGCATCAGGCAGGCGATCAATGATTCTCTCACATCATTGATGTTTCTGTCTTTCTCTCTCCCTCTCCCTTCCTCTCTGAAATCAATAAAAACGTTGTTGTTGTTTTTTTAAGTAAAGCTCATTTAAAAAAATTTTTAAATACATTTTTAAAGCAAAGAAAAAAGCCTGAAGAATGCACACCAAACTTGAGGTAAGCTTTTCCTTTACAAAGTTATTGTTTGACTCTAATATATGAAAAATGTATCTGTGTACAACTGTACAACAAAAAATGTTTAATTTTAAATACCACAGTTAACCTCTGATAAAAAGGAAATTAAACAGAATCCACTTCCTAACACTTTGTACTGTAATTCTATTCAAAAACTATCCTACCTCCAAAAGACCTCCAAATCTCATTCGAGTCTCTGATTACTAATATTACAATATATGAACTTAAAAGAAAAACTGTCAAAGATTATAATAAATTGCTGGGGGGTGGTATATGCACAAATATGCATGTGAAAGGAACTTCTTTAATCAGTAAGAAATATTCCACCAGAAACATTCTTAAATTCTATTTAGAGCTAGTATTTAGAACTTTAAACATAAATTGTGCTATTCAGAAAGTCAAGTTAATTTATTTTTTTAAATATATTTTATTGATCTGTTTCAGAGAGGAAGAGAGAGATAGTTAGAAACATCGATGAGAGAGTGTCATCGATCAGCTGCCTCCTGCACATCCCCTACTGGGGATGTGCCCACAACCAAGGTACATGCCCTTGACCAGAATCAAACCCAGGACCTTTCAGTCCACAGGTTAACACTCTATCCACTGAGCCAAACCAGTTTCAGCAAACAACAGGTTAATTTAACAAAAGGATGTACTACACTTGCTTGGCACCCAGCTGTCCTGGCTGGTTGCTCAGTGGTTAGAGCGTCATCCCTCAGACAGAAGGGTCAGAGGTTGGATTCCCAGTCCAGGGCCCAGGTTGCAGTTTCGCCAGTCCTGGTGGGGACGGAAACCAATCAATGTATCTCTCACATGGATGTTTTTCTTTCTTTCTCTCCCTCTCTCTGCCACTCCTTCCCTGCCTACCTCCCTCCCTTCTACTCTCTAGAAATCAACTGAAAAAAAATCCTTTTTGGTGAGGATTTAAACAAATGAATGAATGAAGTGGTGCACTACTATGGAAAACAGTATGGCAGGCTCTCAAAAAATTAATAGCATTACCATATGAACCAGCAATTCCACTTCTGAGTATATATCCAAAAGACTTTAAAGCAGGCACTCAAGAGATAACTATATGCCCATATTCACAGCAGCATTATTTACCACGATCAAAAGGTGAAAGCCCCCCAGTGTCCATCTGTGGAAGAATGGATAAACAAAATACGACATATACGTACAATAGAATATTATTCAGCCTTAAAACAGGAGGAAATTCTGATATAGGCAACAATATGGATCCACCTTGAGAACATTATGCTAAATGAAATAAGCAGTCACAAAAACACAAATACTTATATATAAGGCACGTAGAGTAATCAGATTCATAGACAGAAAACAGAATGATGGCTTTCAGGGTTGGAGAAAGAAATGGGAAGTTATTATTTAATGTGTATGGAGTTTCAGTTAGAAAAGCTGGAAAAGTTCTGGAAATGGATGGTGGTTATGGTTGCCCAACAATGTGAATTTATTTAATGCCACTAAATAGACTATTGTGCATGGTGGGGGTCTGGCCTTAAAATTTAACCTTAAAAATGGTTAAAATTGTAAATTTTGTATCTCAAAATACTTCAGAAAGCATTTGGCAAAATTCATGATATAGGCAAAGATCTATTCCAGTGACACAAAGAGGGCTGGGAATGGATGAACAGGAATAAATGCAATACTTAACAGGTCTCTCAACAAAGGTCCTACCGAGACCTTTCTCAAACAGTGCTTCAGAATGTTTGGACACACACTTTGTTTTTAAATGCAAAAAAAAAAAAAGGCAGAGAGGGATAGAGCTGCTAGGAAGCTATGAGCCCAGGCCTTCTGGATAGTTTGTCATGAAGCTAAATTAAATTTTGCATATACTGCACTACCAATACAAGGACCTTTAAAGGCAAAACTGTGTTTGTATTTATAAAATAATCATATGGTTTTCATTACATTTACTTCAATAGAAGACAAACTCAATTTGATTAAACAGATCAAACAGAAGCCAGAGTGGCCTTCTGCAGCAACCAAAGAGTATCAGGCTCATATCAAGTTGCCTGGATAATTCACCAACATTCTATAATTCAGAAATCTTTTAAATATGCATACTCTCTGACTAAGCATTTCCACATCTAGAAACTTATACCAAGGAAATAGATGAAGATGCATGTAAAAGAAACTTCAGTGAATGAAAAATTTAAACATCCTTAGTGATCAACAATGAGCAACTGGTTAAATTATGGTGCAGCCATACAATTACATGCTGTACACACATAAAAATGTGAACTTATTATATAGCTATATTGCATGACTTTGCATGAATGTGCATGTATACATGTACATGAATACACATGAAAATTTGCAAATGCACGTGTCTGTGAACATGATACACACATGCACACATGGGCATATAAACGTGTACATGTGTGCAAAGTGTGTGTAAAGCATAATCAGTAAAATTGCACTTGTGTGTACAAAACTGAGCCTGTATATGTATGTAGGGGTGCTTATGCCTATATTTGGACCAGGAGCCTGTGTTTTAAGTAGCTGAGTATGTGTTTATCCTCATAATCACTACTTAGAAGCTGTGACCTTGAGCAAGCTACTGAGCCTCTGGGAGTCTTCACTGTCATCTATACCAGCGGTCGCCAACCTTTTGAACCTCGCAGACCACCAATGGTCCTCGGGCCACCGGCTGGCAACCGCTGATACATTACCAAGCCCTACCTCACCGGGTTTTGTGAGAATTGAGTGAAAAAATGGATGAAAGGAGTTGGTGCAGTGATTGGAGCATAGTAAATGCTCACAGTAGATCAATATTAGCTTTCCTTATCTGTACACACATTCAGGCATCTATACTGTATTTACACAGCTATAAATCCAGAGATACCCATCAAAATATTAACTCTGGTTATCTATGGGTGATGGGCTTTTGTGGTGGGGTTGTTTTTCTTGGCTTTCATATTTTCCAATTTTTCTAAGAAGATCATTTCTTTGTCATTCTCTTTTGAAGCGCTCCCTGACATACCTCAATTTTGTATATTTAAAGCTATTAAATACTACACCAAGGAATGCATAATTTTGATACTCCACCAAGGTTTTTCGTATTCTAGCAGTGTGTGAGCACTACCTAACAGCTCAAGAAGATGGCAGTACAAAGAAAAGCCCCAGCTTTCTGCTCGCTTACCTTACCCAAGGCAAGATGAAAAGAATGAATTAAATCACATGGGCCGGGGGTTGGGAGAGTGGTGTATGGGTGATTTGCAAACACCTTGGTGACAGTGTTAGTGGAGAGGAACCCAGAGCCTTGCCCAAGGTCATACAAAAAAGCTTGTGCCAGACCCCAGGCTGGGAGGGATCTGAGGACTAGACTGCTTTGCCACAATTTTGGGCGTGTTTATGAAACCAAGAAGCTACATTCTGAACCAGTCATTTCAGGAGTCCGGCTGGAGGAAGGAGGAAATTACAACACAGGGCAGATGACAGGAAAAAAAAAAACAAAAAGTCAGTTAACCGGTCACACCAAGGGTTTACTTGGAATGCATTGATCGTATTGGTTTTTTTCCCCTTATTTCTCAAGCATAGAGATAGCACAGTCCATTTCGTAGAAGCGCGATTGACATTTTACACAATTTATACAGAAAGCAATTTGAAACACGACAAAACGCAAGCGGTTGCTTGCGGTCCCCAATCCACAGCGGTGCCCGCCTGGCCCGACTCCCAGTCACGACGCGCTCAATGCCTCCGAAGCCCCTGCAGAAGGTCTCCCTGGATTCCTGCGAGAAACCCGGCTGCAGGGAGGGGCGAGTCAACCAAACAGGGTTCCCCCTGGGGCCTCGATTCGTAAATCATCCCCCAGATAATAATCCAATCATGCCCCGTCCATTTCCTCCCCAGCCGTGCTATTAAAGCAAGTTAATAAACGTCACGTCCAAGCCATTAAAACAGACCCGGGCACACGCCCTGCAGCCGTCCACGTAGCTCGGCATTTTGGGGTGCCATCAGAGTGCCACCGCGCCTTTCCCATATTTACTGCAACATGCAGGCTTGTCTCTCGCCTGGGCTCTTTTGGTTCTTTTTTTTCTTTTTTTCTTTTTTTTTGGGGGGGGGGGCGGGGGGAGATAGGGAGGTTTTTTACTTTTGTCTTAAAGCGGAGGCGTGGGGGATGGGTTCCCACACAGAACGGGCTCTGAAACCCTGAGTAATCGCATCTCGCCCGGGAAGCTGGGGCGGCGGCCCCGGCGAGGTTAGCCTCTCCCCTCCGCCCGGTTTCCCCTCCATTTCGCGCTGGCTTCTCCCTTTCCCCGTGACATCAACCCCAGGAGGGAAAGGGAAAGCCTACGGCCTCCGGGTCCATGGCTGCGGGCGGGGGCGGGTTCTGACCCAGGGACCCGCCCGCCCGGGGAAGCGCAGGGAAGGCGCCGCGGGCTCAGCCTCTCCCGCCGCCCCGGCCCCGCCCGAGGCCGCGGAGGGTTCAGTCCGGCCCGGCCCGGCCCTGCCCGCGGCGGCCTCGGCTCGGAGCGCGGCCCGCCCGCCGCCCAGGCCCAGCGCGGCCTGCCCAGCCGCGGCGTCCGCGGGCCCCGGGCCGGGCGGGGGAGGCCGCCGCGGCCGCAGCGAGGCCCGGGCCGGGGGCCGGGGGCCGGGCCTGGGGCGGGGCGCGGCGCCGCTCACCTGCTGGTACCCGACGGCGCAGGTCGGCTCCACCGCAGCCAGAGCCGCCAACGCCATGGCGCAGCCGGCGCGGGGACGAGGGCGGCGGCGAGAGAGGGAGGAAGGGGCGCGGGCGCGGCGGCTGGAGGCCGGGAGGCCGGGGGTCGCGCCTCGGGTGGGTCTCGATGGCCGCCGCTACCAGGCGAACCGCTCTCCTCGGCTGTGCGCGCCGCCGCGAAGGCTCCGGCTCGGCCCCGGGAGGAGGCGTGACCCGACGGCGACGCGGCCCCGCGCAGCCCCGCCCCCGCGCAGCCCCGCCCCTGCCCGGCCCGAACCTACGGGCCTGCCCGCCCGCCCCTCCTCCCGGCCCTGCCCTACCCGCCCCTCCGGGCTGTGCCCTACCCGCCCCTCCCGGCCCTGCCCTCCCGCCCCTCCGGGCTGTGCCCCGCTGGCCCGAACCTCCCGGCCCTCCGGGCCAGGCCCACCCCTCCCCGCACTGTGCTGCCCGCCCTCGCGCCCTGCCCTCCGGGTCCTGCCCGGCGGGCGGCCCGAACCTCCCGGCCCGGCCTGCCCACGCCACTGCCCTGGCCCCTGCCCGGCCTGCCCACGCCACTGCCCTGGCCCCTGGCCCCGGGTCTGCCTCTCCTAGCGCCTCCCAGGCGGAAGCGCCAGGTTGGAGGCCACCGAAAGCAAATTGCTGCCACTGGCCACCTGGTGATGAGCACCTCGTGCCCAGCATGAGCCTCCCCTACGTGTGCTCACTGGCCTCCATCACACACACACACACACACACTCACACACACACACACACACACACACACTCACTCACACACACATATACACACACACTCCCATACACACACACACACACACACACTCACACACACATATACACACACACTCCCATACACACACACACACACACACTCACACACACATATACACACTTCCATACACACACATACACACACACACACTCACACATACACACACATATACACTCACACATACACACACACACACACACATACTCATACACTCATACACACACACACACACACAGGGCCCGTAAGACAGAGGTCGTTGACCCGCAGGGAGGTGGATAGTCTCATGGCAGCGCCCTCGGTTCTGACCCACGCACTCCCTTCCCCTCTGCCATCCTCGTAGGCCGGGGGTCAGTCAACTGCAGGGCAGAGGCCAGATCCGGTCCAGTGATTGTGGAAAATATCTGATATTCAAGGTTCAGTGACTGTAAAGTAAGTTTGAACTTAATGCAGCCGCCCCCAGGTGTTTAGTATGACCTGCAAACCCTAAGCTACTTGCTGTTGGGCCCTTTAGTGGAAAAAAAAAAGTTTGCTGACCCTAAACCTTCGAAAACTTCTTAGATCCCAAAGCCTATTTAGCGGTGGGTAACAGCCTCATTTCTACGCAGTCCTTAAAGTATTTTAACAGCCTCATCCATGGATATAGATACGATCTTTTTCTGAACCAAAGCTCTCTGAGGAGCTGATATGAAAGGCAAAAAACTTCAGTGAGCCAAGCTACAAGCTTTCCAGGGAGCAGGACCAAGGGCAGAGGTGGTGAGGGAAGGGAGAGTTTGCCTTGTGGAAGAGCTGAAAGGAGGCAGGCATACCTGTCATAGAGATCATTCTTACTGTTTCGCAGATGAAAAAATTATGCTGGAAGAGATTAAATATTTGACCCAATATTGCAGAGTTAGTAAGGAGGTAAAGCTGGAATGAAACCCATTAAGCCAGCTTTTAAAACCATTATTATGTAGATAAATGATAAATTTTGTGGACAAGAGTAGTATGTGTCTTCAAAATATTTTGATATCTCCCGTAGCATATCGCTCAATATAGCCTATCTAGCATACATTTGAGGTGTCTTTTTTTTAAAATATATATTTTATTGATTTTGTACAGAGAGGAAGGGAGAGAAATAGAGAGTTAGAAACATCGATGAGAAAGAGTCATCGATCAGCTGCCTCTTGCACACCCCCTACAAGGTACATGCCCTTGACCGGAATCGAACCCGGGTCCCTTCAGTCCCCAAGCCGATGCTCTATCATTGAGCCAAACCGGTCTCCATTTGAGGTGTCTTGTTTCTTTCTATCACATCCAGCCATCTGGGATTGCTTCCACCCATATATCCAACACAGAAGAAAACTTGATCTTTGAGGCTTGTTGCAATTTCTTCCTTATTTCCTTTCCACATTGGTGGTCTACGGTTGGCATTAATATGATAATACGGTGTAGCTACTAATTTTCAAATTTTGTTAAATATTACACATTTTAAAATTTAGCTGTGCCCTCATTGGTTTGGCTCAGTGGATAGAGTGTCTGCCTGTGGACTGAGGGGTACCAGGTTCGATTTCGGTCGGGGCATGTACTTTGGTTGCGGGCACATAAGGAGGTGTGCAGAAGGCAGCTGAACGATGTTTCTCTCTATCCCTCTCCCTTCCTCTCTGTAAAAAATCAATCATATATATATATATATATATATTCGATTATATATATGATTGATTTTATATATATAATCGATTATCTATATATTTAGCTGTGTTTTGTTTTGAAACTACCCTGAGGTTCCTGTTCATAGGAGCCAACTGTAATCAATAAAAATTCTAGATGTTCAGCTGAAACCGGTTTGGCTCAGTGGATAGAGCGTTGGCCTGCGGACTGAAAGGTCCCAGGTTCGATTCTGGTCAAGGGCATGTACCTGGGTTGCGGGCACGTCCCCGGTAGGGGGCGTGCAAGAGGCAGCTGGTCGATGACTCTCATCGATGTTTCTAACTATCTCTCTCTCCCATCCTCTCTGTAAAAAATCAATAAAATATATATATTTTAAAAAATTCTAGATGTTCAGCTTCCTCACTGTGAGTTTTCTGCTAGTATCTCAACTCCTACATGTCTGTCTCTTTTCCAGCAACATGCCAATCTGAGAATCTTACAATGGTATGCTCCTTACTCTGTCCTTTAGTTGTTTTTAATCCAGAGAAAGAAAACTTTAATATATACTTTTATTGATTTCAGAGAGGAAGAGAGAGGAAAAGAGAGAAACATTAATGGTGAGAGAGAATAATCTATTGGCTGCATTTTATACACCTTCCACTGGGGATCGGGCCTGAGCATGAGCCCTGATCAGGAATTGAACTGTGATCTCCTGGTTCATAGGTTGATGCTCAACCACTAAGCCACACTGGATGGGCCAGAAAAACAAACAAACAAACAAAAAAAAAAACAATTTTAAATGTAATACAGTATAATGAATTATCCCAAACATAATGTCCTACCTTGTGATCTTGTATATTTGGGGGGGGGGGGGCTGGGGGGAGGGGAGGGGGGTGGGACTAAGTTGAAATTTTTTAAAATCTCATCAATGGAAAGTAGAAATCCAGACTTCTTTGCTCAGATATTCTAAACATACATGTAAGAAGGAGTAAAGAGAAGCTGTCTGTGCTGCCACATTTGGCTATTGGAACTGCAGCTGCCATCTTTATGCATGTCTGCTGCACTGTGATTTTTGTGGAAAAGTTGTTACCCTTCCATTTTCTTCTTTCCTAAACTACTAGTACCTTCTCTTTCTTTTTTTCTTTTTTTAAATGTATTTTTATTTATTTCAGAGAGAAAGGGAGAGGAAGAGAGAGATAGAAACATCAATGATGAGAAGGAATCATTGATTGGCTGCCTCTTGTGGGACCGAGCCCACAACCTTGAGCATATGCTCTTGATGAGAATAGAGCCCAGGACCCTTGAGTTCACAGGTCAACGCTCTATCCACTGAGCCAAACCATCTAGGGCTAGTAATTTCTCTTTCAATAGCTATACACTCCCTGCATATGGACATAAATATTTATCACACTATAAATACTGGGCTTTCTTACAGGAATAGTTCCTCTCGAAAGAAAAACAAAATTGATCTCCAGTTTCCAATCTCCCTTTCCTTCTTTTTTTTTTTTTCATACATAAGAGAGAGTTTATTTAGAAATTCACAGCTAGGTGTTCAGGAAACAAATTACAGAAGCAAAAGAAGGGCCTTTGGAGCTTAGGCCAGAGAAGGGTGAAGACAGCACAGCTTGAGGGGAGAGGAGGAGGAGAGGGAAGAGGAAGGAAGAGGCTCCAGCCAGCTCCCGAAAGGGAGAGCATCACTCCTTTTCTGGTGTCCTGAACCAAAATGCTTTGTGATAACAATAAAGACGAAGCCTTTTTTTTCTTCTGTGATTTTCCCCCCAAAGCCTTTAATAAGTAAATGGAGATGATTTGTGTTGATGCAATTGATGGCTATATTGGGGGATTGAGAAATTGACTCTGCTGTATAGGGTCTCCGACTGGCAAGCAAACTGTACAGGGAAAGGGAAAACTCTGAATCTCTGACTCCTGGACCCATGCCTGCTGCAGGCCAAGCAGACAGAGAAGATCATCCAAGGCTGTAAAAACTGCACTCCTTGGCTTCATCTCGAGATATTGTCAAGAGAGTTTCCACAAAGTTATTCATTTCAGATTGCTGCACTTATAAACTTATTTCCCCATGGAATAACAGTAATAATTTCCATGTGCAATACTTTTTATGTGAATTGCTGACTCTGAATCATCCATCCTGAGAGAGAAGAGAAATATTATGGACAAGTAAGAGCACAGCTTACGTCTGTTTTTCTTCATTCCCCTCGTTTAGAGAAAAAATTCCTCCAAGGTGAATGAGGTCCTCTTTCGCATCCAACTAAGTTCTACGCAGCCCTGAGCTCAATGAGTAACCAAGAAGGGTTTGTTAAATTTTAAACCAAAGCTCACTGGCCTAATATCTCATTTCAGGCCTTCATGTCTCCAGCTAATCTTCACAGGCCTCCTGCTGAACCATGGGATTCCATTTTTACTGACTTACTATTCATTTCATTAAGGGCAAAAGGTAATATCTTCCTATTACAAATAAAGGAAGTGTCCTCTGGTGATTACTGCTGTGTGTGGAGCACCTCCTGGGTCTCCGGCCCTCGTATTAAAGTGTAATACATCACCTCCTCCATCTCAGGACAAATCCGTTTTGCAGATGAAGAGACTGAGGATATGTGTATACCTTGCTCA